ATCTCTGATTCACTTAATAAAGTAATGTGATGCAGCTATGCATTGCAGGCACTGAAACCCTCAGCATCCAGTAACTGCATTATTACTGCAGTAAACTGACTACTAGTCTTCGAACAGCATTTGGCGCATCCGCAGCGCCATTAGCCAGTTAAAAGAAATAAGCTTTTTATCTTAATTTAAACATGAAGATGCTTATAGGCTTAAAGTCGAGATGGCAGAATTTTGACTTAGATCCGTCGTTAGTACCGAATCTGTTGTTCAGTTTTTCTGAACCATTATTCCAAAAACGTTGCATACCTGGCCATAATTGCGAGTGTAATGTGTCTGGCAGCTGAACATATTCCAAAACGTCTTCAAATAACAACAAATTCTTCACGTGCTTATCACAACAGGAGCTGCAGGAGTTTCTGGTCTACAAAATATTTCTGCGGCACATCACCTTCTATATTCACTTAATCTTGCCGCTCGTGATTTTTTCCTCAAAATTAAAATGAAGCTAAAAGCACGATGTTTGACATCATTTCAGTTATCCTTCAGAATCTGTTATCGGAAATCGACTAGCTCAAAATTAGATAGTTCTAGGGGTTCTTCCGGATGTGACAGAAATGCATGGCTACCTGTATGTTATCGAAGAGAGACAGTTATGAAGAAAACGGCAAGGAAAAATGTTTGATGTAAATTGCCTTCAATTATTATAAATTAATTGTCAAAATTTTTTAATCAGTGGTCGTGAATTGATGAATTAGTAATTTTATGTGATTCATGAAAAGCTACATAAAATTTATAAATGCTAGTTGCTCTTCAAATGGTTTTTGAAAAAACTGAGCGCATCATTTTTTGCTACAATGGAAATCTTCTTTTGTCTTTAAACAATAACAGAAACTATCGAATTTTTTGTTTTTTAAGTGAGAATGATCTGTTTCTTCCACAGCGTTAGCAGTTAAACTCAGAGGAGTTGAACGAGTTGCTAGGTAACCATATCAACAACTGTGAAACATACGAGTCAGTAGGTATTTTGACGTTCAATAGAGAATGTGTGCCTAACCCTGACGGCCTTATTTGATTGAAGCGGAGTTAAGTATCACTTTATAAATTATTATGATACTGGTGCAGTAAACAGTAAACCATTTTCTTACATTATATCTAACCACCCCTATATTTTTTACTGCACGTTTAGAAGATATACGAGGGAAGCATATACAAGCTAGCCATTGCATAAACCTATTATCTGGAGATCACTTTCAGTTAGCACTTCTGTTTCCTAGTCAAACTAAGTACGTTGCATATATTCATGTGAATAGAAATTGGTGCATAATAGCGCCCAGGTACGCGACTCAATTTCGCCCAGAGTGGGTCACTGCCAGTTCCTGCAGTACTAGGTGCAAGCATGGGCCTACCGTAGGCCATCCTGCTGCTGCCTTTTAACAATGAGTTGAGAATTCATGAATCCTTCTTTATGGCCGCACATACATCCCTTACGTCGACTGCGTGTAAAACCTGTGTCACTCCAGTGTAACTGTAAGAAAACAAAAACGGATGGTTACGTAACGGCTTTGGGGTCGCAAAGGTAGAATTTGT